CGTCTACCACTCTATTTGCGAAGGTGAATTTTCTTATATTTCTTCGGTATCTGTGTTTAGCTAGTTTAAATCTATGACCTCTTGTTCTTGAAGTGCCAGGTCTCAGGAAGTCTTCCCTGTCGATTTTATCAATTCCTGTTACTATTTTGTACGTAGTGATCATATCACCTCTTTTTCTTCTGTCTTCTAGTTTTGGCATATTTAATGCTTCTAACCTCTCCTCGTAGCTCTTACCCTTCAGTTCTGGGAGCCACTTAGTAGCATGTCTCTGCACCTTTTCCAGTTTGTTGATGTGCTTCTTAAGATATGGGCACCACACAACAGCTGCATATTCTAGCTTTGGCCTAACAAAAGTCATGAACAATTTCTTTAGTATATCGCTATCCATGTATTTAAATGCAATTTTGAAGTTAGAAAGCATAGCATAGGCTCCTTGCACAATATTCTTTATGTGGTCCTCAGGTGATAGTTTTCTATCTAGAACCACCCCTAGATCTCTTTCTTTATCAGAATTCTTTAAAGATTTCTCACATAATATATAGGTTGTGTGGGGTCTATGTTCTCCTATTCCACATTCCATAACATGACATGTATTAACATTAAATTCCATTTGCCAAGTGGTGCTCCATCTACTTATTTTGTCCTGGTCTTCTTGAAGGGCATGACAATCATCTAAATTTCTTATCCTTCCTATTATCTTAGCATCATCAGCAAACATGTTTATATAATTCTGTATACCAACTGGTAGATCATTTATGTACACAATAAACATCACTGGTGCAAGAACTGAACCCTGTGGTACTCCACTTGTGACATTTCTCCATTCCGATACATTGCCTCTGATTACAGCCCTCATTTTTCTATCAGTCAGAAAATTTTTCATCCATGATAGAAGCTTACCTGTCACCCCTCCAATATTTTCCAGTTTCCAGAACAACCTCTTATGTGGAACTCTGTCGAAAGCCTTTTTTAGGTCCAGATAGATGCAGTCAACCCAACCATCTCTTTCCTGTAATATCTCTGTGGCTCGATCATAGAAACTGAGTAAATTCGATACACACTAATACGGTACGCACTCTTAATTAATTATTAATACGGTACGGCCCGCCCCATGGCTTACATATCCAGACAATTCAATGATTTACAGGCTGACTGTCCGGTTAGTGTAACAATGGCAGCAAGTTAACCGGCTCCGATTTTTTATCCAGCTAAACCAGCTTTTATCCGGCTCCCATGGCCATTTTGGCCGGATATTGGGATAACTTTATCTGGTCACGGTTTTGGCCGCATAAGGGCGTTTTCCGGATGTTCGAATCCCGGATAATCGCGTGGTTACAGTATATATGATTTGATGTCTAGTGCTATAATATAAACTTCCCGCCTGGGATAGGGGCAGCTATAGTGCAGCCACGACCAATAGTTGCCAGATGCCACCTAGAAAAAAATCCAGACCAACATTCTTGGGTGTGAGAGCGTCAGTATTGAGCAAGCCACCAAGGATGGCACACACAAGACGAGCTAGCAGCACCGCTGTTCAGCTTTTGACCACAGCATCGCCTACAAATGCCATAATATATATGATCATGCTATTAGTTAGCGATGTTAGTATTATAGAAGACCCCTGACTGTGATAAAACTGACCAGGATTCTGATAATAGCAGGATTGTGGTGATATTTAGCGCTGTGCTCCATGGAGGGAGGAGTAAGGCTGTGGGGAGGGAAGGTTGTGGCGTCGTCTTCTGACTGTGTGTGGCCACCTTTTATTGACTGCACTCACCATACCAGCTTAGTGGTTCGCTATGGTGAACACAAATGTAGATACTTATATATAACGTGTGTATAGAGTGTGATAACAGCAATAAGAGTAGGTTGGGAGCCTTCATTTTGGTGAGGGGGGGTGCGTCGTCTGCACGACTTATGTTGTTTACTGGTGGCCACTATGGTCTTTAGGCACCATACCAGCTTATTTGTACAGGTATGGTGAATAAAAAAGGTCGATACTTATATATAATGTGTGTATATACGGTAATAACACCACAAACAGTATTGTTGGAGGAGAAATATTAGTGCGTCTGGTCTTGAGGGCGGCCACCACCAGCTGACTGTGTAAGTAGCTACGTCTTTGTGCCTTTACTCACCATACAAGCTTAGATGTAGTTATGGTGAACAAAACATGTAAATACTTATATATAATGTCTGTGTATAGTGAATAAATGCAAAAACAGTATTGTGGGAGGAGAATGAGGGCGAGTGAAGTGTTGTTGAGTTGGTGTGGTGACCGCCACACACCAACCAGTTTACCAGTGCTGGTTGGTGTGTGGCGGTCACTCCTCGTTGCTTTTTGACTCACAATATCAACTTAGTGGTTCGTTATGGTGAACAAACCATGCAAATACTTATATATAACCTGTGTACAGTGGAACCTCTATTAACAAGTTTAATCCGTTCTGGCACCGAGCTCGTTACCTGGAAAACTCGTTTTAAGAAACAAATTTCCCCATTTAAAATAAAGGAAATAAATTTAATCCGTTCCACTCCCAAAAACATCCATACTTGTATGACTTTTATGTAAATATAATACTGCACATGTAAATATAAATGTTTTGTTGTAATGTTTTAATGTTTACTTTACCTTATGAAGAGTAGTTGCTGGCTTGAGGGAGACGATGGGGAGGAGGGAAGGATGAGAGGGGTTATGGTGTGGAAGGAGAACCCACCTCTGAGTCAGGCGGACTCTCTCTTCTTGGGAATTTCACCCAAATTTAATTTCAAATGTCACACAAGGATGCGTTAGACCAGCACCAAATAAAAAACTACGTCGATTACACTCGTGTCAACAATATAATTGTCTTACCACGAAGATACAATACAATGCCGTTCTCCCAAATAGGCAATGTGGTTATTAGAGAAAACAGAAATTTCATGGCAAACATGTATACAATCCCCAACTCGATCGGATAAGAATTGGATTTTATAGAAATATTTGCTCAAATGAAGCTTGAGCGCGGTGTTTGGGTGCATTCAAGAGAAAAATAGTGTGTCACGTTCAAGCGACATATACCTGCGAAAGTGATAACACTTCCACAAAGTGTTATCACAAAGTGATAAATTAATTAAACATTTTCACACACCGGGTTGTCACTGCTTTATCAGAGCAGCCTTTCCAAGAATGCGTTCACCTTTTCAAACATACCAAACACTTCCCTGATCTCAGTGGAAGAGGCAGCATCCTCCCTTACCTCCTCATTCCCTTACTAATGGTGTAAATTGTTGATGAGGACCTGCCATACTCCCTTGTGAGATCAGTCACACAGACACCACACTCATGCTTTGCTATAATTTCCTTCTTCAAATCCACAGTAATTGTGTCTTTCTTCCTCTTGACAACACTATCTTTAGCAAGCAGCTTCTTTGGAGACATCGTGTGTTACAAATTGTAGTCGCAAAACCACTAAAAACCCAAAGAAAAGCTCAAATAAATCCAGAGGGATGCTTGTCGTGTGCGATACAACAACAACACTGGCGTTGGAGGCGTCCGAGAATTTGCAAGAACCCGCGAGACGCTAGGAAGCACCATGTGGTTTTGCTCGTTAATAGAGGCGAGCTCGTCAATAGAGACAAATTTGCTGTGAGTGGCTTGCTCGTTACTGGAAAAACTCGTTAATAGAGCCACTCGTTAATCGAGGTTCCATTGTATATAGTGTAACAGCAAAACTATTTGTTTATTGTTTTATGAACATAATAATTGAGTCACTAATATGCACACACCATAATTTTGAGTACAGCGATGGTTCACACATTTTATTATATAAATATATCACAATTCACTGCATTGAATAATATTACTGCAAAAAAAACTAAGAAAAAATTAATCAGAAACATTGAGATAATTAGGTAATAATATATTTGTGGCAACTGCCACCTGACAGCTCGAGCGGAGTAGACCTCGTCTGGCGAAGGCTCTGTCAACGCCCCTTTTTTGCCACACTTCACTACCCTATTGCGGCTAAAATATGCCACCTACAATTTTTTTTTTATTTTTTCCGTGATCAGGGAACAAAAATGAACACTTCTATAAGACGAAAGAATTTTTTGGATTTTTTTTTTTGTTGCGCCTATGGGTGTTAAATCCATTTGGGCCCCTAGCGGGTTGAGGGTTAAAGAACACAATAAATTAGCTGTCACTACTGCAAGAAAAATGACAGCTGGGATAACAAGAACTTTTCAAACTAGATATGCTATACCGATGATGATACTTTTCAAAACGCTTGTGCTCTCTAGAGTGGAGTACTGCTGCATATTGACAGCCCCTTTCAAAGCTGGAGATATTGCTGACCTGGAGAGCGTGCAGAGATCCTTTACTGCTAGGATGAGTAAAAACATCTAAAACCACTCAGTAAAATATCTAAACTATTGGGACCGACTAAAATGCTTAAATCTGTATTCTCTTGAGCGCAGGTGGGAAAGATACATAATAATTTACATGTGGAAAATAGTAGAGGGGCTGGTCCCAAACCTGCACACAGAAATACCATCACATGAGACCAGAAGGCATGGCAGGATGTGCAGAATACCCCCATTGAAAAGCGGAGGTGCAACAGGTACTCTGAGAGAGAACTCTATCAACATCAGAGGCCCGAGACTGTTCAACACGCTTCCACTACACATAAGGGGCATAACTGGCAAACCCCTCACAGTGTTCAAGAGAGAACTGGATAAGCACCTCCAAAGGATACCTCATCAATCAGGCTGTGATGCATACGTCAGGCTGCAAACAGCCGCATCCAACAGCCTGGTTGACCATTCCAGTAACGAGGAGGCCTGGTCGACAACTGGACCGCGAAGACGCTAAGCCCCGAAAACACCTCAAGGTAATCTCAGGGTAAGGTAAGTACTGTACTTTTATCTGAATAAACATTATCTTATCTTATAACTGGTACAGTATAATGTAACTTTTTATAATATTAGTAATTCAGACTTATACCTCTAAAAATACTTACTATTTATTTTCATGGAAGAATTTGACAATGGCTAAAGGCATCTTCCGAATCCCCTCGACATATTCCGGCGGGCACTTGGCATCGGTGGTGATGGTTCCAGGCCACCAAGCTTGGCCCAGCCGCACCCACACCACAGAGCCACTCTCCAGGTGACTCATGCCTCTGCAACCACACATAATATAATCTTTATTACATAGTAAATCTAGATTACCAAAAAAGTACTACATTAACACAATACATGGCAATCATATTTACACATGCTAAAAGGTAGTTTCAAATATTGAAACAATAGTAGGCTACTGAGTAACACAGATGAACAATAATTTTCTTTACACACTAGGAAATCACACTAACATAATATATAAATGAGAAAGACAATCGAAGCAATGTGGGGGATTCAAACCCACAACCTGGGTACTCCTAACCGCACACCTTGCCTCTGGACCACGGCATGGTTCAAGTCATACAACCTGTGATTCCACTGAATCCATAGGGCATCTGGAGACCCTTACTGGAGCTAGTTCAGTTTTTATATATAACCCTCAACCAAGACACATTTGCAAAGAAAACCGAAAGAGTTGCAAACCTGTAAACACTATGCCAATTGGAAGAATCCAGGTTGGCTGAACTAAACCTCCATGTAGATGACCTGGTGCAACCAGGTCCTGGAACAGGTTACAATCAACATCACAAAATGCGGATCTACCTTGGTTGACCAATAAACTGAGCAACAGCATTTGGCATGAGATCTGAAAGATATGACAAAAAACAGAACACAACAGTAACTGACACACAAGACAGGTAATGAAGAGATAGAAAATGGCAATGAATGCTAAGCAGCCTCATAATGCCACTCAGAAAAGTGACATCACCACAAAACATTTAAATGAGAGTAGGAATGAAGAAGAGATCAGTTCTTTTTTCTACATTATGATATGGATCTAGAAGCCTGTAAAAGGTACAAAAAAGCAAACCAACAAAATCATTAGAGAAAGGGGGAAGTTAAGGACAAAGGGAGAGGGAATGTTCCTGAAAATTATATATACAGTGGTACCCCGGCTTACGAGCGCCCCTGGTTATGAGTTTTTCGGGTTACGAGCAGGATTTTCTCGGAAAATTTGTATCGGGATACGACTGTTGCCTCAGGATACGAGGGTGTTGATGGGTGTACGGGCCGACCTAGCACATGGTGGCACGGCGATCGCCGCTCAGTTTACCAGTGCCTAGCGCCCAGTCACTATCCCACTAGAATTCTTCACCAGGATTTACATTGTTTTGTTGAATTTTTGGCCATTTGACCATAAAAGTTGTTATATATATATCTCCCCATGTGTCCCAAGAAAGCCAGTGGTAAGGATCAAGGCAAGAATGTGCATGTGAGGATGACAATAGAGGAAAAACAAGAGATCATTCGGAAACATGAAAATGGCACACGTGTTGTTGAACTTTGTAGGCAGTACAACAAAGCCACATCAACTATATGCACTATACTTGCCAAGAAAAAGGACATTATGAGTGCTAACGTGGCAAAAGGCATAAGAACAATCACAAAACAAAGACCACAGATACTTGAGGAAGTGGAAAAGTTATTATTTTGGATACACAACAAGGAGTCAGCGGGTAATAGTGTTTCAGAGGCCTTCAATTTGTGAAACAGCCAGGGTATTGCACGAATACCTTGTAAAGAAAACCCCTGGAACAAGTGCAGAGAAAGACTTTAAGGCAAGCAGGGGATGGTTTGAAAAATTTAGAAAAAGAAGTGGTATTCATAGTGTTGCGAGGCATCGGGAGGCTGCCAGCTCAGACAAACCAGCGGCTAAAAGATTTATTGAAGAATTTAATAGTTTGAGAAGGCTGAGGGATACCTTCTGCAACAAGTGTTTAATTGTGATGAGACAGGACTGTTCTGGAAAAGAATGCCTAAGAGAACATATATTACCAAGAAGGAAAAATCAATCATTGCTTCGACACAAGCCTATGAAAGATAGGTTTACGCTTGTGCTGGGTTCAAATGCGAGTGGCGATTTGAAAATTAAATCCTTGCTTGTGTATCATTCTGAAAATCCAAGGGTTTTCAAACATTATAAAGTGCAGAAAAATCAAATGTGTGTGATGTGGAGGGCTAATAATAAGGCATGGGTGACTAGGATTTTTTTTCGGAGTGGGTGAATGAAGTGGTGTGCCCTGCCATAGAAAAATATCTGTAGGAGAAACATTTGCCACTCAAGGCCCTGCTTCTCCTCGACAATGCTCCTGCTCATCCTCCAGGCTTGGAAGATGATTTGTTGCACAGATACAGTAATTTTCTCACAGTAAAGTTCCTTCCTCCTAACACCACTCCTCTAATTCAGCCTATGGACCAGAAAATCATAGCGAATTTTAAGAAACTGTATGAAAGGGCACTTTTCTGGAAAGATTTTGAAGTGACTGAAGCCACAAAACTCACCCTCAAAGAGTTCTGGAAACACCATTTTAACATTTGTAGTGCTTAAAACTCGTTGACAAAGCCTGGCAAGAAGTGACTCAAAGAACCCTGATCTCTGGCTGGAGAAAATTGTGGCCTGAATGTGTGACAGAACTAGACTGAGGGGTTTGAGCCTGTAAATGACATGCCTATTGTTGAGGAAATTGTTACTCTGGGCTGGCAAATGGGCTTGGAATTGGATGGTGATGATGTGGAGGAGTTGGTGGAAGAACACAACGAAGAACTGACCACCAAAGAACTCCAAGCCCTTCATAAGGAACAGCAAGAAGACACAGCTGAGGATGTTTCTCCAGTGGAGGAGGATGAGGCAGCAGCGAATGTCTCTTCTGCAACCAATAAGAAGTGGTGTGAGATGTGGGAAGAAATGCAAACTTTTATTGAAACAACTCACTCAGAGAAAGCTGTAGTAGGCCATTGCATTAATCTTTTCAATGACCGTGATTTCAATTTCAATTTGACAACGACAAAATTCAATGCCTCACTACAGAAACATCTTGCAAAGAAGGGAAAAACAATTATCAATGGACCACTTGGCTGTGAGAACATTGAGCAGTGAGCATACTTCATAGGATCAATTCTACAGTATGACTGCAGAGTTCCTTGTCCGAAACTCGGGAAGGAATCACACTGTGAGGACAAGGACCTAGTGGTATGCAGGCAAAACGTGCCAGAGAATGCACCCCAGAGAGATCATCACTGCCTGATGTTATAATGGAAGGGGACTCCCCTTCCAAACAGTAACACCTCCCCCCCCCCCCTTCCTCACCAGCTTTCATACCCCAACAGCAGTCATCAGCAAGGGTAAGTAATAACTTGAACATAGTTTTGTAGTGTAGATTTTGATGAATCAGGTATAAAATTTAGTTTGAAGTGAGGTTTTTGGGTAGTCAGGAACGGATTAATTCATTTCCCATTATTTCTTATGGGGAAATAAGCTTCGGTTTACGAATTTTTGGGTTACGAGCCGTCTCCAGGACCAGATTACTCTCTTAAACCGAGGTACCCCCTGTACTGTACTAACACAGATGGAACGAGATAAAAAAATACTGGAGGGTCATTCCATGTGAATTCACCAAAGGCCTCCCACTCGACTCTTTCTAAATACAGTATAATGAAATTTTGTAATAAAGTAGCGCTAGACCCCCAAATGAAATTGTGCAATATATTGGAGCTCAATCTGCTTTGGTTCTTAAATAATAGGTCTATGTTCAATGAGCTCTCATCCCGTTAATGCATACACATCGTAAAAAGGGCCAACTTTGACCCTTTATCAAATTACGTCTAGTGCCCAGAGGTGTGAAATTTAGTATACCAGGACAACTTTTGGTGCGGAATACAGCAGTGTAATCAAAAAAGTAGTTTGGGTAGCCATTCAGCTACCAATCCATGCTAAAATCACTACCAAATTTTGTTGTGAGAAATTTGAACCCCAATTTGGACCCTACTTACTCATCACCAAAAGGTCTAAATGCCATGATCTTTTGCAACGATATATAACAAGCACAATATTATGCAGTGATGCAATAGCAACTCTGTTGTGTCCATATGTCCAGAGGTGACCCACTTGAAACTTGACCAAAAAAATTTTTGTGCAAAACTAGCCAACTTTCAAGGCAAAATATCTCAATATACGTCATTCCCAATTTGGTTTTGAATGACACCATTGGATAGAGCAGATTTTTCTGTACGAGAGTAACTTTTATTTAGGTTGGGATCTGAATTCCTAGTTCAGTCAGAGGACTCTGAAAATGACATACCTTGGTGAGATATCGAAAAAATCAAATTATGATTCTCCATCTTCTTTGTGCACTGATCATGACTGCTAGCAAATTGATATCCAAACTGATTGGAAACATTTTAAGCTTCCTTGGGTAGAACATTTTTGGGTGGGATTCAGAATTATTATTAAACAATCAGTGCTATTTTAGGTTCCTGTTCTATATTTATCTTTACATCTTTGTAGTATCGTGTCAGCAGGTCAAACATTGCTGTTTACTTATTTGTGTATTTACTTGCAATAAATACACAAATAAATAAAAAGCAATATTAATATTAACGTATTACAGGTCTCACTTGAAATTACTGTATTCAGTTAGTTAATTGGTTTATTACCATGTGCTATTGCTAGCCATGAGCGTGGCCCTTCTGAATGTCACTTGACAACCTACACTCCCAACAAAGGCTTGAAGTTTCTAAAACAGTATAGTGTAGAAGATCAAAAACTGATAGCAAAGCGAAGTGAACTGAACTTGGATGGAGAATCTCAAGTATGCCTCCATCATGAAGCTTTGCTGTTGACGAAATTTGAATGTTTACAAAAAACTTGCTGCAATACCTTCAAGAAGAAATGCCATGTAAACGAAAAGATTTGCGACCACTCACAGTAGCCACTGTAGAGAAAATGTCAGATATGCTGAAAGTCAGTATTAAGCCTGGCCAAAAGTTGTGCACATCATGCAGGAAGGAATTCGACAGTAAGCAGGTACAGTGGTTCCTCGGAATACGAGTGTCCCTGAATACGAGTTTTTCGGATTACAGTGGCACCTCGACATACGATTGCCCCTACTTACGATAATTTCGAGTTACGATATAAATTTCATAAAAAAATGTGACTCGACATCCGACATTTGTTGGTACACGTTCGGGTCGACTGAGCGCCTGGTTCCCGTTCACGCGGCCGCCCTGCCTCAGTTTACTACAGCTACCCGCTTAGTAACGATCACGCCTTTAAGAAATTTCGCGTTTGTGGTGATTTTTGCATTTTGAACATTAAAGTAATTATTATATATCACGCCATGAGTCGCAGGAAAGTCAGTGATAAGAATAAACATATGAAAACCCATGTAAGGATGACCATAGAGCAGAAACAAGTGTACAGAATGTCTCTTCCTCAACAATTAAGAAAATGTGTGCAGCATGGGAAGAATTGCAAACCTTTGCTGAAACGACTCACCCAAATCAAGCTGCCTTGCTTGATTTGGGTGAGATTATGTCGTTGCCTTAACCTATTCAATGACACTGTGATGCATCATTACCGACTAACGTTAAAAAGAAGGGAAAAACAAATGTCTCTTGACAAATTTGTAGTGAGACAAACAAGCACTGAACCACAACCAGGTCCTAGTGGTATTCAGGCAAAACGTAGGAGAGAGAGTACTCCAGAGAAAACATCACTGCCTGATGTGATAATGGAAGGGGACTCCCCTTCCAAACAGTAACAACTCTCCTCCTCGCCCCTCATCACCATCTTCCATACGCCATCAAGCACCCTCCATAAAGGTAAGAGAAACTTTGGTACTG